AAAAGTTGTGGGGGGGGGGGGGGCTAAAAAAATAATATATTATTTCATCTATAAAATGAATTTCCAGTTTCCAAACGAATCCATGTAATCTGCATCCGAACGAACCACCGAATGAAGCACATGAACAGAAAAACGTAGTGTTACGGATCGCGGAGACACCGAAGTGCTTTTTGGATCCAGAATCTCATTTTGATCTTTGGAAGTACAGTCGTAGATTAATATCGTAAGTGCTTCTTCGCTTTACCCATCAACTCTATACACTAGTTTATAAGCGTGTACCAATGCGGCATCTTAAAGCTGGTTAGTTTTATCGACGTTATTGCGAAGCCTGAGCCGGTGGCTTTAAATAAAGAATAAATACATGATTAAACATGACCAATGTGATGCACGACGGCGTACGAAGCGAACCGGACTAATGTATAAAAGCGCTATGCCATCTGCCGTCAGTAAGTCTTCATCTTTAGCAGGTCGGTCTTTCAAAAACACACACACGACATTCTTCATATAATGATATCACTACCATCATAGCAGCCTAAAGGTACAACAGGAAGCAAAATAAGGTGCTTGTAGCTTATATGAACCCAGGAGGGTCTCAAGACGCGAGGGAAGTCGCTGGCGTTTCTCATGCGGAGAGATTGTTAGCCAGCTCGATGAGCGCTAGTGCGCCGTGAAGACGCTCGCGCTGCTCTTGAAGACGTCTGCCGCCGCTCTTCTCTTCGTCCTGCTCCTCTTCTTCACCTTCATCAGACGGCAGGAAGTCCAGAGGGTCCTGCTGCTCCTGGTCCTCTATAGTGGTCTTACTCAGAGTCTTTGCTTTAGTCGGCGCGGGCGTCTGCTGCTCTCTCATCTGCCAGTATCTGACAACACAAACACTGTCACTCTGATGGACCTTCACGCTCATTAATGCACAACTAAAACAATAAAATGATAAATAAATACACACACATGCATGTACATATTTAAGAAAAATATGTTATGTTTCTATATTAAATAAGTATAATATAAATTATGTGAATATAAATATATACACGTAAATATTTTCAAAATATATACTGTATGCGTTTTTATATATACATAATAAATATACACAATATATACATATATTATATACATACCTGCAAACTCACAAGAGGTCAAAAAGGTGACAGTTTGGAATATGACCCTTGTTGGAGGGTCTGGGGGCATTCCCCACAGAAGAAAATTTTTGAGAGTTTAACATGTAAGTGAAGCGTTCTGGTGCCCTCTGACAAGAAAATAAAGGAAAAAGACAACATATGCTTCAAGTAAAAAAAAAGCACATTTATACCACAAACTTTTTGGACAGTGCAACTCTGTTGTCATCGGTGTTCATACTTCTCATTAGAGCTCACATTAGAGTGCGCATATTATCAACAAACTCGCTGAACTTTTCACTGCAGAGGAAACAGAAGCTGCATCTGAAGTGGCATTAGATGCATTTCAACAAACTCCATCTTTACACTGCAGAGGAAACAGAAGCTGCAGCTGAAGTGGCATTAGATGTATTTACACAGACTGCTTAATGAAGCTGAGGTGCATAAATGCATTTACACCACAACATTTCAAGTGCATAAATAATTTTATAAGATTAATGTTTTAAATATTTTTGAACATACAAGTTGTGTTGGGAAAATGCAATACTTTTAAATATGAAACCAAACCACCAGTAGATGACGGTAAAGGACTGTTTTAATGAGCGAGTCATTAGTCATTCATTCAAACGGCTGATTCGTTCAAAAACGAGGCACGTGACTACTATCTTTATGAATGGATTACTGAATCATTGACTCACTTGATTTGTTCAAAAACGTGGATTCATTCAGTATCGATTCTCGAAACACCGCTGTGTTGCTCAGAGACACAAAACAGTTCTGCTGTGGCTTTGATTGAAACGTCAGCGAACTTGAGCAAAAATAGTCAATATTGTTTTACAAATTACGAACTTTGTGTCTGTTTAACTCACAATTAAGAACTTCCACGCAGACGACGTGTGCCGTCAAAACGGACTGGCTGTGGGCTGTGAGATGAGGTGTGTTCGATTTGAAGCAGCAGCACGCAGACCGATCGGACATTAACAATATTGATTAAACAAAAAGCTCTTCGGATCTAGACGATTCACATAAATGACATTTTGATTCAAAACAGCGAATTTCGCCGAAAAGCGACTAGTTTGCAGGTATGTATATAAAAAAAAAACTTTTATTTTGGATGCGATTAATCGTTGCCCAGCACTAATAACAAAAAAACTAAGTATAAAACACTTCCAAGGAAACATTTCGCATTTTCATTTAGGTTAACTTGATGTGTTAAATAACTAAAAGTGAAAAAAAATTGTTTTATTGAAAAATAAACACTATATATAAATATGACAAAAACAGAAAAGTTACTATAAAGAAACACAATTTCTTTAGTACAAAAAATTTAATATAAAAAATATAAAAAAGCTAAATAAACAAATAAAATTAAAAAAATCTTAGAAAAAAAAAAAGACAAAAAACAATATTTCTTAAAGAAAAACAAAATTACTTAAATACTTAGTCCAAAACAAAACATTCAAAAAATTAACTTATTTAGTTTTAGTTGAACTATAAAATAACTAAAATGGAAATAAAATGATAAAAAAGATGTTCTGGGAAAATAAAGTATAGAAATATTTAAAGAAAAAACTTGAAAATGACAAAAACACAACATAACTTCAAAAAAACACAACTAAATTACTTTTTTTATTTTAGAAAAAAATAAAATATAAAAAAAACTTATTTTATCTTGTTGCCAAAGAAACATCTCTCCTCTCTCCTGATGTACTAATATAATTAAAACTTAAATAAAATGTAATTTTTTTTATTAAAAATTGAAAACTATATAGAATTACTTTAAAATTAAAGTATAAAAACTAAAATCAACTGAAATGATCAATATAAGCTATACTAGTATCTTAATGATACTACAATAACACTGGGCTGGAAAATAAACAAAAGTTTAAATCTCTTGTTTTGAACTCAAGCGTTTCAGATAAAAAGAGAAAATCAAAAGAGATTTTATTTGTGCTTTTATTATGTTTAAGTATTTGATTCACTGGATTATAACATAAAAGCACTACATGATTATGTGACCGAATGTCAGCAGAATATGATCATAACACACTATACTCATACTGTGATGCATGATATTGGTCATATATGTAAATGAGTGTGGGTGACGTGTTTCTTCAGCCCTCTTTTAATTAACAGGAAATAATCTGCCATGTTACACGATCAGCTGTTGTCCGTTAGCGTGGATAATTGCTTTTAACAGTTGTAGGGCTGTCAAAACAGCTAAAAAACTAAATTCTAATTTGTACTGAAATATGATCAATATTCGAATTATATTCTAATTTAAAATGCATAATTTCAGTAAGGGTCTCCTGAGGCCACAAGAGGGTGCATCGAGCAAAATATTACTAATGCATGTTTATACAAAGCAATAAAATAACATGACTATATGTTTAAAATAATGTTTATAAACCAACTATATTTTAATAAATTAAGTTGCTTTAACAACTATAAACAAAACGGCATCATGTATGTATGCATAGTTTAATACAAGGGAACGAAATCCAAATATCGTCCTATCCTAACAAACCATACATCAATGGAAAGCTTATTTATTCATCTTTCAGATGATGTATAAATCTCAATTTCACAAAAATTGACCCTTATGACTGGTTTTGAGGTCCAGGGTCACATATAACAATTTTTTTGACTGCAGAAATATGTTAATTCAGTACACACATTATCCCACCGGTTGTGACCGACCAATTTTTCACACACTTTCCCCCCAAAATGTTATTTGTTTATTTTAAAAGGTTACTAATGACACATCATTTAGATATTTTAATGTCTGGGAAAAAAAAAAGGGATTATAAAGCGGAGAGTTCCGGTGCTTGATTCTGATTGGCTGAGCCGCGTTCTAAGCTGTTGTAAATTACTTTACAAAGTAACATACATCTTTGTTTACGTCTGTGTGTTGCTCGGCAACCACTTTGTAGCAACCACAACTGTTTCTGAGGAGCTACATTGTTTGGTGGAAGAATACTGTTTTTATTAATATTATTACACTTTATTTGCTGTTTTATTTTGTGAAACTTTACTACGTATATGGAATAACCGTTTTATAAAAGCAATAAGCCCCGTGAAGCCGTGGTTTACAATGAATTTATAACAGCTAAGGGGGTTTTAGGGGGTCTAACAATGCTCCTTAGCTGTTATAAATTCATGGTAAACCACGGCTTCTTGCTTTATTAAACAGGTTAAATTCGACAAATATTCGAAATTTAGATTTTTTTTTTTTTTTGACAGCCCTTGGAGTGTGTGTTGATGTTTTACTCACTTCGCCAGCCATTCGGCCACAGCCTTGTTGTCGGCTCCCTGTGATTTCCCGGAGCCACCCGCGGGCTCCTCGCGCTTCAGCCGAGCGTATGGGTGTTTGGGACAGTGACGGTTAGCGTGCGTGAATCGGCTACTGCAACCTGAAACACACGAGGAGAAAAACAAAGCTTTGAAACACACATCAACAAACCAGTGTTACTGAGTATCACTGACTACGTTTACTGCTGTTTCAAATTTTTTTTTTATTACCTGTGATTCTTTTCTCATCTTTGATGAATAAAGAGTTAAAAAAAGAACACCATTTAAAATAGAAATCCTTTTTTAACAATACACTACAATTGAAGAGTTTGGGGTCAGTATCTTTTCTCTTTTTTTTTTTAAAATAAATTAATACTTTTATTCAACAACGATGTGTTAAATTAATAAAAAGTAATAGTAAAGACTTATATTGTTAGAAAAGATTTCTATTTTGAATAAACACTGTTCACAAGTTTTCATTCATCAATAAATCCTAAAAAAGCATCACCGATTTCCCCCCAAAATCCAAAAATGTCATTTTTAAAATTTGTATTAGTTTGCATGCATGTGAGCCTATGATCAAACAAGATGTTTATATTTATATATGATAGTTTTATAAATTTCCCCAAATTTCCAATGAATTCCCAAAAATTCCTGGCAAGTTTCAAACTTGGAATATTTCCAAAATTCCCCAGACGAAGTTCCCATGGAAACTTACCTGGAATGTTCCGCCCCTTTGCAACCCTATCTACTTGGACATCGGTAATCTAATTATTTACCTTATTCTGAATAAAACAATATTATGATTAAGGTGTTTACTAGGGGTGCTCCGATCAGGATTTTTGAGGCCGATCACAGAAAGCAGAATACGATCTTATTAAAGCCTTCTTTTTATCATGTAGAATTATTTATAGTGATGATCCAATCAAGATTTTTAGACATTTATTCAGAATTTGTATTAGTTTGCATGCATGTGAGCCTATGATCAAACAAGATGTTTATATTTATATATGATAGTTTTATAAATTTCCCCAAATTTCCAATGAATTCCCAAAAATTCCTGGCAAGTTTCAAACTTGGAATATTTCCAAAATTCCCCAGACGAAGTTCCCATGGAAACTTACCTGGAATGTTCCGCCCCTTTGCAACCCTATCTACTTGGACATCGGTAATCTAATTATTTACCTTATTCTGAATAAAACAATATTATGATTAAGGTGTTTACTAGGGGTGCTCCGATCAGGATTTTTGAGGCCGATCACAGAAAGCAGAATACGATCTTATTAAAGCCTTCTTTTTATCATGTAGAATTATTTATAGTGATGATCCAATCAAGATTTTTAGACATTTATTCAGGGCCTGAATTTCATTTTTGAAAATTAATTCCCCTCTTAGGTGACTCTTGTGAGAGGGGATGTTTTATTTGAGGGGGGCATTTTTTAGACAGTTTTTCTCACCTAAATGTTTGATCATGCAGTGCATTTTTGTTTTGACAATCGTGTAATTGTTGCACAATAGCTTACACACACCGCAAGCCTGATTTCGTGAGCTGTATGTGAGGCGGCCTTTTAACATTTATCCATTATTCTGATTTCAAATCCAAACATTGTCACTGAAAATGCTTTTTTAGCATTGATTCTTTTTTTTTTCTTTTTACAGTACACTAATACAAATTTTCATAGACGTGTTTAAATGCAATAAATATAAGCAACACATTATTCAATGCTTTTTACTTTTGCATTTACTTCTAGATTGATACATTAAGTTGCTCAAGCAAGTGGCAAAACATTTAATTAATAATTAATAATAATAATAATAATTTATGCATTTAGCAGACGCTTTTATCCAAAGCGACTTACAGTGCATTCAGGCTATACATTTTTTACCAGTATGTAAAAATGATTTAACTACTTTTCTTACATTGACATTTTCTTACATACATTATACCATTGACAGAAACAGTCAGCTCTACTGCCTTTTTTTTGCATTTACATCTTTATTACAGCATTCCTGCGGTTCATAAAGAACTTTGTTTTCCTACCTCCACGAGTGCCATCTATTATTGCCTTGTTTATCTAAAAGTGCTCTTTTCCTTTAAACCTAGCCAGAAAGCCATAGCCTGTGTTGACTGTGAAACACAGTAGACTTTAATTATATGCATTTATGGTGTAATTACTACATTTTTGTGTCAATCTATGTTCATATTTACCACAATAAAGAGTATCGAGCATGACTTTAGTCAAAAGTCTCTGTTTACATGGTAGATTCTTAATCAGAGTATTATTGTCTTAATCGTGTTAAAATCTGAATATTGTTGTCCTTGTAAATGTACTCACTGACATACTATTATAGCGTTTGCTCAGTTTGAATTAGATTTTATTTTTATGTTTTTATTATTTTAAGTATTTTTTTGCGTGTGTTTTGTCATTTTTGTTAGCTTTTGAATGTCTGTATAGTTTTTATTATCTTTTCCCCCGTTAGTTTTAGTTATTTTGGTACTTCAAGTAAAAAAAAAAAAAAAAAGAGAAATGTTTAAATTTATTAGTGCTGTAAAACGATTCATCACGATTAATCGCATTCAAAATAAAAGTTTTTGTTTACATAATATATGTGTGTGTACTATGTATATTTATTATGTATATAGAAATACACACACATACAGTAGATATTTTGAAAATATTGACATCTATATATTTATATTCACATAATTTATATTACATATAAATAGATTTAATATATAAACAACATTTTTATTGAATATATATACATGCATGTCATATATAAATGCACACATATTATGTAAACAAAAACTTTTACTTTGCATGCGATTAATCGTGATTAATCTTTAACAGCACTAAAATTTATATATTACTTTTATTTAAAAAAATACAATTACTTTTAACTTTAATGATCCTGACAAGTGTGGATGACACAATGGTGAAATTCAATTCAATTAAATTAAATTAAATTTAAGTTTATTTGTATAGCGCTTTTCACAATGAAAAATCGTTGCAAAGCAGCTTTACAGAAAATTAAAGTTTCTACATTATATTTAGTAATAGCTTATCAGTGGTGACTATCTCAATAATATAAAACACACAATGAAACCGATGCATTAAATTAACACTTAACACATTTAAGCAGAAAAACTTACATTTATTTATTTAGACCAACACCAAGTGGAATAACCATGTTTGTTAAAGGAGACCTATTATGCCCCTTTTACAAGATGTATTATAAATCTCAAGTGTCCCCAGACCGTGTCTGTGAAATTTCAGCTCAAAATACTCCACAGATAATTTATTATATCATTTAGAAAATGCCTATTTTGAGTGGAAGCAGAAAAAAAGCTGTTTTTGTGCGTGTCTCTTTAAATGCAAATGAGCTGCTGCTCCCCGCCCCCTTTCCCAGAACAGGACTGTGCAATTTTAGCTCGTATCTCAGATCTCTGACAAAAAACATCTGTTTGGTTTTGATTATCATGTATATTGCACTGAAATCACGTGTTGTAAAGCCATTATCAGTTTAAATTTCTGATATACATTTTTTGAGTACTAAAAGTTCTCTTTCACACACAAGTTTATGTTAATAAGTTACAAAAACACAGTCGGTTATGTCTGTGAAGTTAAACAGCTGGGAAAGAAATCGAATGTCTACATTAGATAGGTGTATTAAGTGACGGCAGCATAATATACAGTACCTCTGTTTGGGTCTACGTTGTTAACATGACCCAAACAATAAAATAAAAGCAGAAAATCACTCACTGCTCCCAACTGAACAACTTCTATAGCTCTAATATGAAGACATTTCTTACTTGAATGCTGCTTTTAAATGCTCTGGCGTGAAGATAAACATGGCAGGGGCGGGGTCTCGGCTAACACAGCTGTGTCAATCAACTATCGTGGGCGGGGCTTGTAAAGTGTGATGTCACACTTTATGGATTCTGTGATCAGTAAGCTCTGAGACACTGCTCATGATTTATAGAGATTAAAAAAAACGAGCGGGTGGATTTTTATCATTATAGGGTGGTTGTGTACACGCACTGCTAACACACATTTATGTTCAAACAACATGTAAACGTGAATTTTGCATAATAGGTGCCCTTTAAGGGCCGCCTGCTGGCAGAGAGTGAATCTGCGTCTCATTCAGCTTTGCTGTTTCATGCAGATATTTTTTATGCATAGTTTCACAAAACTGAAGTCAAACCATTGTTTTTGCCTCAAATTTCGAAATGATATAATCTAATTTAGATGAAAAACTGCTCATGTTGCATGTATGCAGCATCTTTGTTTGGATCATGATTAAAATGCAATGGTTGCCTCTAATTTTAAAAGGAAAGAGCACAGGCAAAGCCTTAGTTTGTTTATGTGAAGAGATTTATTTTATTTGTGTTACTTATTTATTTGATTTGGGGTCAGAGCAACTTTTTTTAAACTGACGAACAATAAAAACATTGACAGCCAATCAGAATTAATCTGAACATTTAAAGCAGATGACAAATGCATTGCTTTATAATAAACAAAAAGTTAGCGTGCATTGGTGTGGATGCTAATATAGTTATCATTAGGGCTGGGTGATATGGCAATTTTTTTTTTACTATTTTTAACTAGTCAAATAAAAAATGTAACTATTCATATATTATTATTACTATTCAAAACCGTGATTCCTTGATTTATGAAAAATAAAATTGTGGCAAAACATTAAATTCTAAATTAACCGATAAAATCGGAAAAATCGATAAAAAAAATTAAATCGTGGCAAAACATTAAATTCTAAATTAAACGATAAAATTGGAAAAATGTATAAAAAAATTAAATTGTGGCAAAAAATTAAATTCTAAATTAACCGATAAAATCGGAAAAATCGCGTTGATTGGCAGCTAAATCACTAGAGTGAACACTAGAGAAACTAGTTCATACTACCTGTGTTTGTAATGCGGTTTAGTGAAAGCAGTAGGGTTGGGTATCGTTTGAATTTTATAGATTCCGATTCTTATCGATTCCTAGTTTCGATTCCAATAAGATAAAAAAAATCCCAAAAAAGCCTACAAAACACTTAGTTAGGCCTACAAGAGGAACTTTTGCCTATGCTTTAAAAAAATACCACAGCAAAAACAATTATAGACTATAAATTTCAAATATTAAAGTGTTAAAAACAAGTAATCAGTCAGTAATAAAATAGGAACAAACAAATCAATTAGCAATAGCATAAATAAATACAACTGAACCCAATTTCAGGTACAGAAACAATAATTAAAGTTTAAAAACACTGCATAATGTAGATTATTAATTAAATTTATTCAAGATATTCAGTCAAGATGAGTGAATGATTTTTTGTTCTTCGATTAACATTAACGACAGGCAGTGCGTTTATTAGGCTGCCGTCTCTTCAACACCGAATGCACGCAGATCTAAAAATACTGTACACGTGTTTTCGTTCTCATCTGTTTACGTCCACTTAAGACAAAAAACAGCTGTGTTTATGATGATATACTGACATAGTTTTCTGCATACTGGTCAATAAATGTGACCCTGGAGCACAAAACCAGTCATAAGGGTAAATTTCTCGAAATTGACATTAATACATCATCTAATAGTTGAATAAATAATCTTTCCATTGATGTATGGTTTGTTAGGATCGGACAATATTTGAAAATCTGGAATCTGAGGGTGCAAAAAAATCTAAATATTGAGAAAATCATCTTTAAAGTTGTCCAAATGAAGTTCTTAGCAATGCATATTACTAATCAATTAAGTTTTGATATATTTACGGTAGGAAATTTACTAAATATCTTCATGGAACATGATCTTTACTTAATATCCTAATGAATTTTGGCATAAAAGAGAAATGTATAATTTTGACCCATACAATGTATTGTTGGCTATTGCTACAAATATACCCCAGCGACTTAACACTGCTTTTGTGCTCCAGGGTCACATATATGAAAGAAGTCAGTTCCAGCTCGGAACAACCTTTTCTGCAGTGGAAATGCACGGAACGGTTCGAGAACAAACACAAGTTGGGATTCGCTAAGCAGAATCGAAATGCACGCGTCTTATTGAAAACCCGGTTCTTGGCACCGGGTTCTCGATACCCAACCCTAGAAAGCAGTGAATGCTAACGCTCACCTTTCTCCGAACAGACGAAGGGTTTTTCTCCGGTGTGGAGGCGCTGATGGGTCTTCAGCTGTACGCTCTGGACGAACGCTTTCCCGCAGTCCGGATAATCGCACAAGTACGGTCTTTCACCTGAGACGAGAAGAGGAACATTAGCGCTCTCGTTCTGATGTCTGAACACAAATACGGCTCACTGTGGCGGCGCTGACCCGTGTGCGTGCGTTTGTGCGCCTGTAGAGATTTCTCGCGGGGAAAGACGCGGTTGCAGATGTTGCAGCGGATGCGGCTCGTGGAGTTCTCGCCCTCGTTGATCAGCTCTCGGACGGCGTCTGCCCGCGGGCGTCCGCGCCGAATGCCATCCTGAAATAAGACAGCAGGAACATGTATGTTAGACAGAATGATACATATGTGGCCCTGCAGTACAAAAGCAGTGTTAAGTCGCCGGGGTATATTTGTAGCAATAGCCAACAATACATTGTATGGGTCAAAATTATTCTCTTTTATGCCAAAAATCATTAGGATATTAAGTAAAGATCATGTTCCATGAAGATATTTTGTAAATGTCCTACCGTAAATATATCAAAACTTAATTTTTGATTAGTAATATGCATTGCTAAGAACTTAATTTGAACAACTTTAAAGATGATTTTCTCAATATTTGGATTTTTTTGCACCCTCAGATTCCAGATTTTCAAATATTGTCCGATCCTAACAAACCATACATTAATGGAAAGATTATTTATTCATCTTTTTCAGCCACACTGAACTGATCTGAATAACGACACTATTGTCTTTTTAAGAGCTGCTTTACAACTGAAATTCAGTTTGTTTTCATTATTGATGCATTTTGCAACATTAATACTGTTATTTTCTTTCTTGTTTGATACTGTGAAGCTGCTTTGAAACAATCTGTATTGTAAAATAATGGCTTTACTTATTGCAAGAGAATAATAATTATAAACTGTATTTTTATAGCGCCATTAAAAGTTGCATCTCAAAGCATATTACAAAAAGTAAAAATACATTGGAATACAAAATAAATAAATAAAATGAAATAATACTGAAAACACACCAAAACAGAAAAATGGACTTTGACAATGAAACACTTCATAAAAGGTAATATTTTATTAATACAAAACAGTGGCACATATTAAATATAAATAATGATCCAATAATGTTATACATAAAGTGCCATATGTAATAAACAAATAAAACATTGTAATTACATAATAATAGCATATTAAAACACCACATATTTATGGTTACTTTATTTTAAGGTGTCCTATAGTTAGTGTAGTTATACATTTAAGTACCGAGTAATATAATGAACTACATGTACTTACTATATGGTTAGGATTAGTGTTTGGCTTAGGGTTACTTGCATGTAATTATGCTATGCATTATTAATTGTTATTATAATAGTAAGTACATGTAACGTGTAACAAGAACACCTTAAAATAAAAAGTGTTAACACATACTAATATAACACCACGATAATATCTAATTCTACGTCATATGGATAGTGACATGCCATAATTACGTAAATATTATATATTTATTTATAATTTTACGGCAAACTCAAAAATAAAACTTTTAAAATAATATTAATAATAATACTTAAATGACTAGTATACAATAATTTACCAATATTAACAAAAGTAAATAAAAATAACAATTATATGCAATCTTTCAAACTGATACTTGATAATAATAATAAAAAAAGTTACATTTTCCAACGGAAAAACTTTTAAGAAATGTCTATTAGTGTACGTTTTGAGTAAACACTCTAACAAAATACGTTTTACAGTCAAGGAAACGTGTAAATATTATCGCGTTAACAGTCGTTTTGAGGTAAGTGGAGTTTTCTAGAAGCATAATCGTTAACATTTTGGCGCGCACGTCTGACGTCACGCCTAACTTCCAAGGAGGAGAATTTAAATCCCGTTCAAAGCGCGCCTTTTACAGTTGGCGTGTTAATGTAACGGTTATAATATACGCGCTAAACCGGACTGAACCTCAAAATCACGTCGCTTAGCAATAATACGTGCTAATAAAGATATAATAGTGCACTTGTGTTATATAGTATGCATTACTAGTACAGTATAGCGATTTAGTTTGACTCTCACCTTGAGGTGTTCATCTGATTCGGCGGGAGAGCCGCTGTTTCGGGTCGGCGAGGCGGTTCCGCTGCCAGATCCGGGGCTCAGAGTCACATTGTGCGCGTTTTCACCCCAGCGCCACGGATACACCATGAAGTCGCTGAATCCGGGGCTGGTGGGCATCAGAGAGTCCGCCGCTTTCGGTTTGATGGGAGTCGTCTTGATCACGGACACCAGGACTCTTTTCGGCGAGTCGTTACAAAATATCACTTGATGCTTGCTGTCAGCCATCGCAAATAACGTTCAGTTAAAATTAAGCTTAGTTAAAAATGTGAAAGTGTAAATAAGTGCAGTTGGAGGAATATCCCGCCGTTAACGTGCCACCGTTATTCGCTGTGTTATAAAGTCAGTCATTCCCAGCGTATCGCTGTTCCAGAACGCGGCGCCTGTGGTTCCGTTGTTATCCAGCGCTCACTGGCAGGAGTTGCTACGGTGATCCGAACTCACTCGGTAGTTTCCCGCGTTGGAAATCGCGCCCGAGCGCGGCGCCCAGCCAATCAGCGAAGAGGAGGTTACGGCGCTGGCGCCGTGCGCAGAGAACGAACCAATGGCAGACGCCGTGACCTTCGCGCAGCCAATCACAGATCGCGAATCGTGCCTTGACGCCGCGACACTTTTTAAATATGGCAGCGCGCGCTCTTTCTGACGGACGCAACGGTTGTCCAATCACATGGCTCGTTGTTTACTGTACGGCAGTGTTGCCAAGTCTGCGGGTTTCCCGCGGAATTGGGCTACTTTAACACTGTTGCTGCCGCGTGTTTAAGCGACCCCAATAACGTGATATTTAGCCCCTATAATGCGAATTTTACCAGGGGAACCCGCCAAACCCGCCGTGTATTTTACCCTCCTGAACGCGATTTTAATTTTTTTAACCGGAGGACCCCCCCCCACCTCGAAACGCAAGCGGGCGGGTTTTGTTGTGTAAACCTGGCAACCCTGCTGTACAGTTCGCTCGCGTTGTTTCCTGCAGTTTAACGTCTCCCGCGCATAATGTTTACATCGATTTAAAGGGAAAGGCGGGCGGTGACGGTGGCGCGAAAGTTACGTAATCAAACCGCCTTTTGTTTCATTGTGTTTTGGCAGCTGTCGCCACACAGCAAACGCTAAGCACGAAAACCCTTTAATTATTTGATTCTTTTTAAGATAAAAGCCTCCCGCGTGAAACAGCTGCTGCATTTCTTTCAGCATCTTGAGTTCAAAATAGAATTTTTAAATTGTTCCCAAGACTTTAGAATCATTTCCACATTTCACACAGTCGTGTCCGTTTTAAATAATTTAATTTTGTTTAATTTTTAATGTGTGCTATTTATGAACGATTCTTTTTTTCAGGAAATAAAGGATAAAAGAGTCAATCATTAAACCCATATTTGTTATTTCGTATAGAATTGCAATTCTTTTTGGGAGACATGCATGCTTACATTTTCTGTAAGAATTGAAATTAATTGCCATAAGAGCTGCAGACACCACAGACATCAAGCCCCACCCAATATTCATATTACAGGTCAACTAAACCACAAATTATACAGTTTTAGACTATTTTTAAACTATAAACATGTGTCCCACAACCCGGAAGTAACTTTTACATGTGTTTGTGATTGCTGGATAAGTATTTTTAAACATAATTTTGGAGATTGCAGTCAAAGCAATTTCTAGTCAAATAAGTTTATTAGTTGAGCTTAACCGGAACAATTATGCTTTACTTATTTTTGAAAAAAATCTTGAAAAAATAATAAATTGTTTTATGTTTTAGTAGTTCATATGCTATTGTTTTCTTTACTAGTTATGGTTTTATTAACATATTTCAGTTTAGTTATTTTAGTACAAGTTAACCTAAATGAAAATGATAAATATTTAAATAAAGGATTGTGTTTTTATTAATATTTTGAATCATTTTTGTTGTTTTCAGTTTTAATTTTAATTAAATCAGTTATAATTTTACAAATTTTGTTGCGTTTATAATTTTTTAGAAGTTCATATGCTATTGTTTTCTTTACTAGTATATATGGTTTTATTAACTTAGTTTTATTTTTAGTTCTTTTAGACATCAAGCTAACCTAAATAACTTATACATATTTAAATAAAGGATTTTGATTGAGTTAAATTATTATTTTCTTTCTAAATGTGAATAAACAGAAATATATAATGTTCATTCAACAACTACATTTGCAATAGCAGAAAGGATTTATTAAAAGGGATTTGACTCAAATCCTTTCCTATCATATATATATATATATACGTACACACGTGAAATAATCATGATTTAAATTTGCTCATCAAACTAAAGGTATGCGGTATTTACAGTAAAAATAAAAAAACAGTCCTTTTAGTCTATGACAGTCATGATTAGCACAGTATGATTCACATTCGGTCATATTTCTGTAAGTATTAATAAAGTACTAGATACAGTATTAAAAAAAAAACAATATTACAGATTTAGTAACAATGCATAATGGCAAAGGCATGATATTTACAATGGCATAAAAAGTCAAACTTCACATACGCTTTAAAAATAAATTCATTGCTTTCTCTTGATCAAATAAAAATGCTTAACATCTGCTGATTTCCCAATAAACACTTTGAATATGGTTTATAGTAGATGACTTGGACAAAGCCATGAAGAAGTAAGACTCGAGTGATATATCAGTGCAGGGATGTTGGTCTTTTCAGCGCAGCAGAGGAGCTCGAGCTTTGGAGATGGAGTTACTGTAAAACAACAAATACATTACAGACCAAACCCATACGAGCAGAACGCCGAGCAGCACTCGTGCACATGCTCTAAACTCAGACGGATGCTGAGAAACGCTTTATAATTACAAAGCAGAAGGAAGTTAAAGGAGGAAATCTGATACCATGGTCTCTGAAAGCGCACCGATGGCATTGTGTGAAGCGCTTTCCTTCTTCGGGACAGAGATAGTCTATTACAGGTAAAGTTTGGTGAAAAGATAAAAACCCGTTAAAACTAATCTCTGATCCGGTTACGGTTTCAGAATAGAGGCACGTTCACAGCTGGCATTCACACGTCTCATTTGTTAATGCTTTTTTAAGAAGTCTCTTCTGCTCACCAAGGATGCATTTATTTGATCCAAAATACAGTAAGAATTTAAAATAGCATCTGTTAAACTAATTTATTTCTGTATTTTCAGCATCATTACTCCAGTCTTCAGTGTCACATGATCTTCAGAAATCATAATAATATGCTGATTTGCTGCTCAAGAAACATTTCTGATTATTATCAATGTTGAAAACAGTCGTGCTGCACGATGTTTATGTGGAAACCGTGATACACTGCCTTTCAAAAGATCTTTTATTAATCAAGAATGCATTCAATTTAATCGAACACGACATTTATAATGTTACAAATGATTTCCATTTCAAAGAAATGCTGTTCTTCTGAACTTTCTATTCATGAAAGAATCCTGAAAAATAAAATGTATCAGTTTCCACAAAATTATCGTGCAGCACAGCTGTGTTCAACATTGATAATAATCAGAAATGTTTCTTGAGCAGCAGATCAGCATATTAGAATGATTTCTGAAGATCATGTGACACTGAAGACTGGAGTAATGATGCTGAAAATACAGCTGCGCATCACAGAAATAAATTACAGCTTAACAGATATTCACATAGAAAACAGCTGTTTTAATATTTCCGATTTTTTCCATATTTTTGATTAAATAAATGCAGCTTGGGTGAACATTAAAATGGTAATCATTCCAATCTTCTATGCTGAAACTAGGATTTTCAACTTTGCATTGGAATGCAGCTTTAAAGGCATCCTATTATGCTCTTTTACAAAGTCTTGATTTTGTTTTGGGGGGTACTAGAACAGGCTCTCATACTAGGTTGTTCGAAAAACACATTATTTTTCACTTATTTTACATTATTACAACACCTCTCTCCCCAGTCTGGCATGAACGGCTCGCTGTGATTGGCCAGTGTGTGTTTTGATCGGTTAGCTGGGCCAGTGTGTGCAGTGATCGGTTAGCTGGGCCAGCTGGGCCAGTGATTGGTTAGCTGGGCCAGTGTGTGCTGTGATGGCCCGCCTTCTGAAATATGAAATGTGCTGTGATTGGTTAGCTGGGCCAGTGTGTG